AGGCCTGGGGGCGGGGCTGAATGGGGCCGGGAGCCCCGGCGCCCGGGCTTCACGCTGACGTGGAGTTGGCCTGGAAAGGTTCCCAGGGGTCCCTTGGGGAGGTCGACGCCCAGCATTTTAGAGGAGTGAGCAGACAGGGCTGAGGCCCGCCCAAAGCTGGGTGCGCGCAGATGGAGCCCACCCCATCTGCCTGCCCTCCACCGGGCCCAGCACCGAGGATCGGGTGCCAGTGCCAGCCCCGACTCTGAGACGGCCTGTGACTGACCCCTCCCCTGGGTACCTTCGGGGATGGTAGCCGGGTCTCAATGGCCCGCAGGTCCTTGTCCAGCTCAGCGCTCAGCTTGGCCAGCTCTCTCTCCAGCAGGACCTGGGGGCGGGGAGAGACTGGGGTAGTGAGGAGCACTGGGGGGTGGGTTCTGGCCGAAGGTCAGACATGAGGAGCAAGACAGGCACAGGGTGCTTGGGTAATAGGCAGGCCTGGGGGGAGTGGCAGGATGGCTTCTGCCTGTGGCCCTGCAGGGAGGCCTGGCTTGGGTGCAGGAGGGCATCCCTGCCCAGCCTCTCACCCACCCTGCACTCTCACCAGAGTGTCTTAGAAGTTCCTGCTTCGGCCTTCCCACCAGTTTTTGCCATGTTACTTCTCTCAAGAGCCTACAGGGCTCCCTATTTCGTCTCCCATCCTCTGCTCTGGCCTTCCATGGCCTGACTTCACCCAGGCAGCCCCATTACAGTGGGCTGAGCCCCGCAACTTCCACCCAGCCTCTCTTGGGTCTCCTCTCCCTGGGCCACCCCTCCCTCCGCCTGGCCAAGCCCTCCTGCTTTTGCAGAGCCCAGCTCCGCCTTCAAGAATACTTCCTGACCATTCCAGTCCACACTAACCACTCCCTGCTTTAGTTCAGCTTTGGTCACCACATATTTATTCTACACGTTTCCTGAGCACCTACTGTATGCCAGGCAGACTCAGGTTCTGGGTATATAGAGGCCACCTGTACGGGACTGGAGAGGGTCAGAGTTTTTGGTCTGTGGCCTTTGCCCTTGGCCACTGGGGCCCACAAGACCCAGAATCACAGAAGCAAAGATCTGAGTATCATATGTTCTCACTCATATAGAGGACCTTGAACATCCACCATAATACTATTAAAAAAAAAGACTGACAGTGGTGAGAAACTATGGGGAGAGAGGGGAAGGGAGGTGGGATTAACGGTAGTCAATATCTGTCTGGGAACGAAGAGACACCCCTTATCCACAAGGGTGCCTGAACGAAGCATATTTGATTACCTAACCCTAAACTGTACCCCACAATATCAAAATAAAAAATATTGATTAAAAAAAAAAAGAGCCAGAATCTCCCTTGTTCATCCCTGACATTGCTGTCATTTCCCCCTCTTCCCGCCCCCGACCCTGCAGCACTCACCTCAATGGGCTGGGAGGGCTTCTCAACAATGTTGTCCACCAGCGGTTTCTTGGGCTGAAGGGTGGAGGATGGGAAGGATGTGTCAGAGGAGGTGAACTCACTCTTCAAAATGCATCAGCTGAGGGTGCATCTACTCCCAGAGGACCAGGCCTACACTCACCCTCTGCCCAGTCTCGAGTTCTTGAAGAAACTGGTTCCATGAGTCTTCTGTCCAGACGTTGTCTACTTTTTCTCGGCGTCTGGCCACCTGTGTGGAGAGGGGTATGGGGACACTGGCCAAGCTCAAAACGCAGGCTTTCCCGCCCCTGCCCTCCCCCGGGCCCACTGTTGCCCTCCTAGAGATTCAAGCCGAAAGGGCATTGCAGCACAGGAGGCTTGGCCATAGCATACAACTGGAGGCGGACTGGGGAGCCTGCTGGGTGGGCTACCTGATTTGGGGGATGGCGCACAGAGGAGAATGCTCTAGAGTTGTAGTTGAAGGTGCTTCTAGGTGGCTCTTCAGAGTGATCCCAGCTTCTTCTGAAGAAAGAGAAGGACATCTCTTTAGCCTCCTTTGGGGAAACTGAGGCAGAAGTGAGAACACAGCCCTGGAGAGGAAGTTGCGCTTCCCTTGGCCCTGCACCTGTCCTCGCTGAAGGCCCTGCCCTCCTCTCATAGTGGAAGCAGTGTTTAATAGTAGAAAGTGTATGGCCTCAAGTTTAAGCCCTAGCTCCATTGCTTAGTAGCTGTGTGAACTTTGGTAAGTTACTGAACTCTCGGGACCTTAGACTTAATGCCCATAAAATAGAAATTAAGTGAAGGAACATGTGTGAGGTGCCCAGGAAAAGGCCTGACACATACATCTGCTCTGTGAGCGGCCGTCTTTTTCCTGCTGGCCTGTGCCACAAAAGTTGTGCATTTGTGTTCGGTCTGGCCCTTGACTGTGGCCATATCTGTCTGTGCAGCTTTGATGAAGCTGGTCTTTCTGGCTGCTGTGACTGAATGGTCTAATACCCATGCCCAAGGGTATGGGGCTACAACCTATTCCAAGGTAGATCTGGGTAAGTTACTTCTGTTTCCTGGGCCTCCGTTCCATGAGGGCACTGGATTCAGTGACTACGTTTGTATGACCAGCCTACCACTGAGGCACTGCACTGTCACAACTACCTTAGCTCTGCTCCAAGGCTCCCTTCCTGGCTAGCTTAAATGCTCCAGCCTCTGTTTTCTTAGAAAGTTTCCACCAAGTGGAACCACTGTATCAAGCTTATCAAATGAAGGAATATCTGACCAGAGGGTTAGGATTCGATGCCTATAATTTTGACTTTGCTCTGATGTGGGTAATAATAAAAGTGATTGTGAGAATAGGATTTGTTGGTCCTAAGGAAGCTCTCATCATAATTAAACCTGTATGTTACTAATGTGTGTGCAGATTTGGCACATGCCAATCATGAAGCATGACACATACATTATCATATTTGACCCTCTCGACCACCCTAGGATTCTCACTTAGAAGATGAGGACACTGAGGCCCCGACTGGGTGAGTTGCCCAAGGTCACATGGCCAGTGGGAGTGTACTGGCATGAACCCAGATCACTGAGTCCAATTTTTTTTTCTTAATCGGGGTCTGTGGCCTAAGCTGGGAGTGCAGTGGCACAGTCACGGCCCACCACGGCCTTGACCTCCTAGGTTGAGGTCTGCCTCAGCCTCTTGAGTAGCTGGTACTATAGTCATGCACCACCACGCCAGGCTAATTTTAAAAATTTTTTTGTAGAGATGAAGTCTTGCTATGTTGCTCAGGCTGGTCTTGAACTCCTGGGTTCAAGCAATCCTAATGCTCCAGCTTCCCGAAGTGCTGGAATTACAGGGTAATCCACCACACCCGGCTGGGGTCCAAATCTTGAGTTCTTCACCTCTATCTTTTGCCAAGAGCCACCAGCCAATTCTGGCTATGCTTAATGAGGTGAGTTACCCCTGTAAAGGACTAAGAAATTCAGAGCAAAGCTCCTGATTCCCAAGGTGGTGTGGCAGCCTGGCTGGGGCTGTGCAGTTTGCACAGAGGAAAGGAATTTCATCCTTATCCCTCAGGAGTGTTCCTCTCTCAGTGGCATTGGGACGGGAACTTGGGTTCCTCCACATCCCTTGTTTTCTTTTTTCTTTTCTTTTCTTTTTTTTTTTTGAGTTGGAGTCTCACTCTGTCTCCCAGACTGGAGTGCAGTGGCACGCTCCTGGCCACCGCAGCCTCGGCCCGGCGATCCTTCCGCCTCAGCCTTCCAGGTAGCTGGAACTACAGGCAGGCGCTATCACGCCTGGCTAATTTATTATTTATTGTAGAGATGAGGTCTCGCCAAGTTGCCCGGCTGGGTCTCAAACCCGCGGGCTCAGGCAGTCCACTCACCTCGGCCTCCCAAAGCGCTGGGATTACAGGCTGAGCCACCGAGCCCGGCCCCTTGTTTTCTCTCAAGCTTCCAAGTGGCTGGCTACAGGGCCAAGCTTCCCTTAAAGGCTCTGTCCACACGCTTCCTAGTTGCCCCACTCCCCATCTCACATGACCCGGGAATCATTGGGGAGATGACTCCCTGCTGTTGACCACAAACACATCACAGGCATTCCTTCCTGGCAGGAAACACCAACGGGTCCACTCCTGCCCACCTTTCCCCCTTGGCCTGGCAGGGAAGAGGAAGCCCCATGGGGGTTGGGGGGAGCCAGACCACCTCCTGGCAGCTCCAGTTGTGGCCACTAGGAGGCGCTGGTCCCAGGGGTCTGGCAGGTCAGGCCCCTGCCCTGCTGTGCTCACCCGCTGGAAGATGCTGCTGGACCGGGCCTGCAGGCAGGTCTTTGCTGGGGCACTGGATGCCTGGGGTCTGCAGAGGAGGCCCATGAGGAAACCACTGAGGGTGGGAGAAGACAGGCAGAGGCTGGGGTCGAGGGTGCCTGCTGACCATTTAAGGTTTCAGCCCCTCCCTCTACCCTCGCTCCTGGGTGGCTCTGGGGACAAGGGGAGTGCTCAGGATCTGTACATGAGGCCCCAAGAGCCTTACGCTCTTTACTAAATCTTCAAAACAACTTTGGGTAGGTGGTGATGCCATTTTACAGATCAGGAAAACGAGACCCAGAGAAATCACCCCCACGGAGTGACAGAGCGAGCATTCCCCGATTGCAAAGCTGAGGCTCTTAATTACCACCTATCAGGGGATTTGGAACTCTCTGGAAATGGGCTATAAAACCCTTTCCAGTTGAACTAATCCAACTGAGGAACGCTAAAGGCAGGCGGGGCAGGCGGGGCTGTGCGTTCCAGCCTCGGGGAGGGGCATTTGCGGGCACCAGACTGGGGCAAATGGGTGGGCCCACACCCCCTCACCTTTGGGTGGCTCCTCGAAGGTCCAGTCCAGCTGCAGTTCTGTGGAATCAGAAAGGACCAAGTCATGGATGGGGCAGAAAGTGAAGATGGGGCACCCTGGGAGGCTGCCTCAGCGGCTCCCCGCAGCCCTCCCGCCTAAGCAGGAGGCCAAGGGCTGAGTCAGGGCCTGAAGAATGTCCCGAGGGAGGGAAGGAATTAGGAGGGCAGCTCTCTGGAGGGCTTGAAATGCCTCTGGCAGACTTAGGGCCTAAGGGAGCCAAGCGGGCAGCCGCCTTACACAAGCCCTCCTGCTCCTCCCTTCCCGTTCCCACACACACCCTCACCAAGGCCAGCTGGGAAAACTTGACTTCCTCTTCTCCCTCTTCCAAATGCCTTACTTCCCCCTTTGCTCAGACCCACTCCTCACAGTGCTTGGGAATTCCAGGGGTCACCTGGAAAGAGCTGCTGCCCGACCAACCCACCTGATCCCTTTGGCATGCAAACATGCTGCCACAGCTCTTGCATCAATGCAAATCACACCGCCCCTCTCAGGATCCCACACCTTCCTCTGGCTCCTGGACTTGTCTGCTTTCCCTCATAGCAAACCATAGCTAGTCTACCATAAAGGCCTCACCACCTCCAATCCCTACTCCGTCTCCCTAATCAGGCTCTCGCCCACCACTGCTTGTCCGGTCACTCTTATCAAGCGCCCAGTGATTTCCATATTGCCAAATCCAATGGTCATTTCTTTTTTTTTTTTTTCTTGAGTTGGAGTCTCACTCTGTCGCCCAGACTGGAGTGCAGTGGCCGCTCCCGGCCACCACTGCCTCGACCTGCTGGCTCCAGCGATCCTTCCACCTCAGCCTTCCAAGTAGCTGGAACTACAGGCGCACGCTACCATGCCCGGCTAATTTGTTTGATTTATTGTAGAGATGAGGTCTCACCTACCCAGGTGGGTCTCGAACCCGCGGGCTCAGGCAATCCACTCACCTCAGCCTCCCAAAGAGCAGGATTACAGGCTGAGCCACCGAGCCCCGCCTAATGGTCATTTCTAATGGTCTTACCTGGCCCATCAGTAGCATCTGTCACAACTGATCTCATCCCCCTGTTGAAGTTCCTTTTTCACTAGGCTTTAGGGAGCTCTCTCAGTTTCCTTCCTGCCTCCCTGCACCTCCTCAGTCAGCTTTGCTGGTCTCTGCTCATCTCTCAAAATCCAGGTGCCCTGGGGCTCAGTGCTAGGGCCTCTTTGTCTCTCCATCTCCCTAGTGATCTTATCTAGTCTTATGACTTTTTTGTTGCTGTTGTTGAGTAGGAGTCTCACTTTGTCACAGGCTGGAGTGCAGTGGCATGAATATGGCTTCTGCAGCTTCGACTTGCTGGGCTCAGGCGATCCTTCCATCTCAGCCTTCAAAGTAACTGGAACTACAGGTGTATGCCACCACGCCTGGCTAATTTTTTGATTTATTGTAGAGATGAGGTCTTGCTGAGTTGCCCAGGCTGGTCGTGAACCTCTGAGCTCAAGCCAACCTCTCACTTCTGCCTCCCAAAGTGCTGGGATTACAGGCATGAGCTGGCTTTTTTTTTTTTTTTTTTAAGAGACAAGGTTTTTTCATGTTGCACAGGCTGGACTCGAACTCCTGGCCTTAAATGATCCTCCCATCTCAGTCTCCTGAGTAGCTGGGACTATAGGCATGCACCACTGCACCCAGTTAGTCTTATGGGTTTTAAAACACCACCTAGATTCATAACCTTGGCTGCACATTAGAATTACATAGGGAACTTTATTTTTTATTTTTGAGTTGGAATCTCACTCTGTCGCCCAGACCGGAGTGCAGTGGCCACTCTTGGCCACCGCAGCCTCAACCTGCTGGGCTCCGGTGATCCCTCTACCTCAGCCTTCCAAGTAGCTGGAACTACAGGCGCACGCTACCACACCCGGCTCATTTTGATTTATTGTAGAGATGAGGTCTCACTAAGTCGCCCAGGCGGGTCTCGAACCCATGGGCTCAGGGAATCCACTCACCTCAGCCTCCCAAAGGCGCAGGATTACAGGCTGAGCCACCGAGCCCGGCTACATAGGGAACTTTAAATCAAAATATCTTTTGGAAAAAAAATATATATGTGTGTGTGTGTGTGTGTGTGTATGTGTGTGTGTGTGTGTGTGTGTGTATGTATATATACATATATATACATATATATATATATATATCTTTTGGGCAAGTCTCAAGTATTTCCATCTACAACCTAGACCTTACTCCCTGAACTACAGACTGGGATATTCAACTGCCTGCTTTACCTCTTCGCTTGAATGTAACATGTATATAAAGCTAAATGCCCCTTAAACCTGCTTCTCCCGTAGTCTTCCCTGCCTTTACAAAAGGCAACCTCATTCTTTGACTTGCTCAGGCTTAAAGCCCTCCTTTAATCCTCTCTTTCTGCCATGTCTGATCCACCGGCAAATTCCAATGATGTTCTCCATAATGCAGTGTTCCCCAACCTTTTTGGTATCAAGCACAAGTTTTGTGGAAAACAATTTTTCCACGTACTCATGGGGGTTGGGAGGATGGTTTCAGAATGATTCAAGTGTATTTACTGTGCACTTTATTTCTAATACTATTACATTATAATATATAATAAAATAATTACTATTATTAAGTTATTATTGTGATATGAGTCTGCAAGCAATGTATGACAGTCTCTGTGCAGTCAAACCTCACTGCTAATGTTAATCTGTAATTGCAGCCACTCCCCAGAGCTAGCATCACCGCCTTAGCTCCACCTCAGATCATCAGGCATTAGATTCTCATAAGGAGTATACAAACTAGATCCCTCACATGTGCAGTTCACAACAGGGTTCACGCTCCTATGAGAATCTAATGCCTCTGCTGATCTGACAGGAGGTAGAGCTCAGGTGGTAATGTGAGCAATGGGGAGCAGCTATAAATACAGATGAAGCTTCACTGGCTCACCCACTGCTCACCTCCTGCTTTGCTACTGGTTTCTAACAGGCCACAGACTGGTACCGTGGCCTGGGGATTGGAGACCTCTGCAGTAATGTATCTGGAATCTCACCCTGTTGCACTGGGTCCATCGCTACAAGTCCTTTCTCTGGTCACCCTTGAAGCCCCAGTGGGTAGGCAGGGGAATGTCTCTCTTTGTCTCTCTTATGATCTCTTTAAGAGAAATAGCTTTGCTGGGCTCAGTGGCTCAGCCTGTAATCCTGAGCCTTTGGGAGGCTGAGGTGAGTGAATTGCCTGAGCCCGCGGGTTCGAGACCCACCTGGGCAGGCGAGACCTCATCTCAACAATAAATCAAAAAATTAGCCGGGCGTGTAGCGTGCGCCTGCAGTTCCAGCTACTTGGAAGCCTGAGGCAGAAGGATCGCCGGAGCCCAGCAGGTCGAGGCTGTGGTGGCCGGGTGCGGCCACTGCACTCCAGTGTGGGCAATGGAGCGAGACTCTAACTCAAAAAAAAAAAAAAAAAGAGAAATAGCTTCATGTGATGTGTTATGTATGAAAACGATAATATGGAAGGATCTCCATCAACGTGTGTGATCCCAACTATGGCTTCTAAGTTGTGAGGCTTAGGGTGACTTACATTTTTTTTCTCTTTGTTTTTTTCCTTTTCTTTCTTTTTTTTAGACTAAGACACAATTGTCTCTAGCCTGGATTAACGCAAAATTGTAATGGCAGCCTTTTTCTCCCTAGCCCTTACCCCTGCTTCCACCATCTCTTCACCTGGCAGCCTTTCAGCCATCACTTGTCAGAGCATGTTACTCTTCTGCTCAGAACCTCCCAGTGGCTCCTCATCACTTGCAGAGTAAAAGCCAAAGTCCTTATAATAGCCCATAAGGCCCCATGTGACCTGACCCACTACCTCCCAGACTCCATTGCCCATGCCCCTCTCACTCCAGGTCAGACTCTCCTTCTGGTCCAGAAGACACTTCTACCTCTGGGTCTTTGAAACTCCTTCAGCTGGAAAACTCCTCCCAGCTCTGCTGGGCTGACTCCCTCACTCCCTCCCCTCTCTGCTCAATTGCCACCTAGCAGGGGTCTTCCTGGACCCTCCTGTGTGAAGTAGCAGCCTCCTGTGCTCTCCTCCTGTCTGGCTTCATTTTTCTCCTGAGCCCTCTCCACTATCTGCCATGTAAGAAGTGTATCTGAGGCAACCCTTTCAGGTCCCCTCCCACTGTGGGAGCCTTTCTGTCCTCTCTAGAATAGTGACATCTAGAATAGTGCTTGTCATGCAGTAAGTGCTCAGTAGATAGTCAAAGACTTGTTGAGTGGATGAGTGACCTCGTGGCCAGCTCATATGCACCCTCAGGATGGGTGCATTTCGAGTTGTGGAAGAAACCAATGCTTCACATCAAGAAATGACTAACGGTGGAATTCCAGACTGGCAGGAAAATTAGAGCGGGATTTCAGGAAAGAACTAGCTTCCCAGGCCCTCAGAGGACCCTGGAGGACAGTGGCTGATCATATCTTCTCAAGGATGCTCTGTAGACACTGCTGAGTACTGGGAGGGGACAGGGAGACTCCTTTCTTTGGCCTGTTTTAGGGACCACTCACCACAGAGCCTGGGGAGGAGGGTGGAGAAGAGCCTCCTGAGCAAGTAAGTCCCCCTGTCCATCCCTCAATCTCCAAGCCCCAGAGGCTGGTGTCCACTCTGGCAAGGAGAGGGCCCTGGAAGAGTGTCTCACCTGGCATTTTCCGATGAATCTGCTGGAACATTCTCCGGTACCAGTCCCTGGGGCTGTCAACACTCTGGGATCAGAAAATGCAAAGTCAGTCCTCCCTACTCAACCTCCAATGTCAAGTCACTAAAGTTTTTCCTTAGTGAGTCCTTTATCTGGTTACCCTTGAAGCCCCAGTGAGTAGGCAGGGGAATGTCTCTCTTTGTCTCTTTTGTGATCTCTTTAAGAGGAATAGCATCATGTGATGTGTTATATATGAAGATGACATATGGAAGGATCTCCCCAGTGATGGCCCCTAAGTTGTGAGGCTTGGGGTGATTTACATTTTTTCTTTTTCTTTTTTTTTTTTTTGTCAGAGTCTCACTCTGTCACCCAGGCTGGAGTGCAGTGGCATGATCATGGCTCATCACAGCCTCGACCTCCTGAGCTCAGGTGATCCTTCCACCTCAGCCTCCCAAGTAGCTGGGACTACAGGAGTGCGCCACCATGCCTGGTTAATGTTTTGGTATTCTGTATAGATGAGATCTCGCTACGTTGCCCAGGCTGGTCTCGAACTCCTGGGCTCAAACGATCCTCCTACCTTGACCTCCCAAAGTGCTGGGATTATAGGTGTGAGCCACTATGCCCCGCCAGAAACATGTTCTTTGTAGAAACATTAGACATATAGAAAAGCAAAGAGAAGTAGGGCACAGTGACTCATGCCTACACAGTAATTCCCCTCCATATGAACCTTTAAGTTGCCAACTTTCTTTTTTTTTTTTTTTTGAATTGGAGTCTCACTCTGTCGCCCAGACTGGACTGCAGTGGCATGCTCCCGGCCACCGCAGCCTCGATCTCCTGGGCTCCGGCGATTCTTCCGCCTCAGCCTTCCAAGTAGTTGGAACTACAGGCACGTGCTTCAACGCCCAGCTAATTTTTTGATTTATTGTAGAGATGAGGTCTCGCCAAGTTGCCCAGGTGGGTCTCAAACCCACGGGCTCAGGCAATCCACTCACCTCAGCCTCCCAAAGCGCGGGATTACAGGCTGAGCCACCGAGCCCGGCTAAGTTGCCAACTTCCAAAGATGTGAACATGCATTCACATGTTCAATCATGTAAGTTTGTTCATGTGTCTGGTGTACTTTTCAAGGTACTTTAGTATAAGATTAAAAATGCTTTTTTTGTGTTTGTTTTTTATGTATTATTTGTGTGTGAAAAGTATTATAAACCTATTACAATATAGTACTATATAGTTTATTGTGTTACTTGCGTACCTAGGCTAACTTTGTTGGACTTACAAACAAATTGGACTTATGAATGCACTCCTGGAACAGAACTCATTCATATGTAGGGAACTTACTGTAATCCCAGCACTTTGGGAGGCCAAGGTGGGAAGATCATTTGAGCCCAGGAGTTCAAGACCAGCCTGGGCAACATAGCGAGACCTCATCTCTTCAGAAAATTTAAAATATTAGCCTGGCATGGTATTGTGCACCTGAAGTCCCAGTTATTTGGGAGGCTGAGGCAGAAGGATCACCTGTGCCCAGGAGGTCGAGGTTGCAGTGAGCTATGATTGTGCCACTGCCCTCCAGCCTAGGACAGAGTGAGACCCAAGCTAAAAAAACAACAAAAACAAAAACAAAAAAGCAAAGAGCATGTTCCTATGTAATAAAAAATGGAAGTTAATACTGTAGCAGAAAGGCTGGGCATGGTGGCTCACACCTGTAATTCTAGCACTTTGAGCAGCCAAGGCAGGAGGATTGGTTGAGCCCAGGAATTCAAGACCAGCCTGTGCAACATAGTGAGACCTCATCCCTACAAAAAAAAAAAAATTAGCCAGGCATGGTGGCATGTCCTGCAGTGTCAGCTATTTAGGAGGCTGAGGCAGAAGGATCAGCTGAGCCCAGGAGGTCAAGGCTGTAGTGAGCTGGGATCATGCCACTGTACTCAAGCCTGGGGGACAGAGAAGACTCCAACTCAAAAATGATGATGATGATGATGATGATGAAGCAGTGAGGTGGTATTTCATACCACCTGCTTCACCTCAGCCTCAAAACAGACCAGGGAGGCAGGAGGGTGTGTTTGTTACCAACTCCAGTTTCCAGATGAGGAAATGTGACTGGCTCGAGACAAAAAGGCAGAAGGAAGAAGGGTAGGAGCTCACTAATCCTAGATGGACCCTCCTAGATTCTTCTATGCTTGCCATAGTTTGAGGCCTTCTCACTCAGGACTCACTGCATCGGTCAATCATTCATTCATCTCCATTTCATGTATGCTGTGCCAGACCTTGGGGGCATAAAACTAAGAGGGGGTTCTCCACCAGGCTCTGTCTTTACAGCAGTGGTTCTTCACCTCTGAAACACTGATGGGAATCCTAGATCTGCGCACCCTCCCAAACCACTTGTGCAACTCAGACACACATGAGTGCCCCTAACTTTATGGGATTCATAAACTCCTGAAGCCCATCATGGCTGAACCCCTGCTTGGTCTGGAATGGTTTGCATGCAGCCTTTACTGCCCCCTCCCCACCCCACCCCCGCTTTAAAGCACAGAAATGGAGTTCCATGTAGGTCCTGGGCCCCATCTATCCATGGCCCCCCAGCCCTGGACTCACGGATCGGGGAGCAATGGGCATGCCGCTCTCATCCACGGGCCCGATTCCCTCGTACTTGACCCAGCGCTTGTCCCGACGCTTGCTGTCCTTGGTCCATGTGGCTGACCAGTTCTGGGCATGCTGGGGGGCAGGGGTCTTCGTGCAGGCAGAGGGCCTGCTCCCAGGGCCTGGCCAAGTCTGATACCACGCAGGGTCTGTGGGGCATGTGAGGGAGAGCATTAGCAAAAGGTGGGGGCCCCCGCATGAACTTCTGTGTCCCTTAGCGCCTCAGAACATGAATCCCCGTGGGTTCAGAAGTTTCAACATCACTTTGTTTGTCTGAATGGGTGACTCAGACTCTATAAACTTCCCCATCCCCAGCAGCTCCACAGGCCTCTGTTGCTTAAAGTGAATTAAGATGGATTTGGTTTTGAGAAATCTGTGCCCATCCCCACCCCCTCCTTCCTTCCAGAAGGAGGGCTGGGAGTCATTACTTGTAGAGAATGCTGGGGACATCCCAGTTGGGGTGTGGCAGAGAAGATGCTGGGCTTGGAGGGGACAAACGTGCATTCAGACCCCAGTTCTGCCACCTGCTGGCTGCCATGGCTTTGAGCACATCAATTACACACTCAGTGCCTCAGTTTCCACTTTTGTGAAACAAGGGTCATCATGGCAAAGATTCAGTGACAGCTAGTGTGTGTGACTGTACCCAGCATGGTACCTGACACATGGTCAAGAGGTCAAGGACAGAAACTCATTCCCAGACATGGTCACTGTGTCCTCCAGGTGGGAGTGGGAGAGGGGGAGGCTTGGCGAGGAGGAGGGGAGGGGAGGCTGGCCAGAACCTCTAGTCCCTAAGTAGACAGGCAGCAGCATTAGGGCTTCGGGGCCAGATGGTTAAGGTATGAATTGTGTCCCAGCCTTGGCGACTGAGCAAAGCTCGCCACAGGAAGATGGTACTCATCATCATGCCTTACTTTGCCAGGATGGAGAGGGATTAAATGAGGTAAGCCTTGGGAGGTGTCTTTACAGCATGCTCTAAGTGTTCCTTAACTTTTTGTTAAGGGAATACATTCCTTTGCACAGTGCCTGCCTCAAGGGAATGTTCAGTAAAGGATGCCACCTTCCTCAGGAGTGGGGCACTCAGGCCTGGCCTGCACCCAGGAGCTCCCAGGCTCTCTGGGACTGGGACCCAGAGCTACTTCCTGCTGGGCAACCCATGGGGCCTGAATGGTGCAGAATGGGGATCCCTTCTCGAGTCAACTTATGTTCACATTCCCTCCACCCTTTCAGTCCCAGTCCAAGTGATCCCTGGCCTGCTGGATGTCCGAGCCGCCCCCCACCTCCCACCCTGCCCCCCGCCTCCCCACCCCTGCCCCTGCACCAGAGGCTCCTGCATACTTCCTTTTCCTGGCACTGGGTGGGAAGGCAGGGGAAGGGGTGTGTAAGCCTGCTCCATCCCCAGCGGATGTCTCCTACAGGGTCAGCATGCTCCAGGGAGGGCTCAGAGGTCCCCGAAGGACCTCCTCATGGCCTCGAGGCCCCCTCTCTGCTGCCCTCCTGTTTGACACAGGGTGATGCCAGATGGCAAAACTCAGGAGGGTCCTGATCCTCCTGTACTCCCCTGCTTCTCACATGAGGCTCCAGAGCAGACCCACCTGGGTCCTGGGAAGCATCTCTCCTCGGTGTGAAGTAGCCATTGCACACAGTCCTGGGCGCGGGGTCATGGAACTGGAAATTAAGGGTGTTGGAGCCACCATTCCGGATCACGGGCACCTGCGGGGAGGGGCCAGGAGCGGCAGCTCAGGGCCCAGAAGGGCGGGAGGGATGGCTACCAGGACACAGCCCACACCCCACAGCGAGGGACCCAGAGCCAGCCTGATGGTTTTGTGGGAAACCAGCAAGGTCCTCTGGAGCTGTCTTTCGGCCCCTCTCCCTACCCAGCCCTTTAATCCTCCTGCCCGCACCTGACCTGCTAGTGTCCCCACCACCTGTGGGCCCACCGTGCACCCTCCTCCTTGCTGTCTCACTCACCCGTGTCCCCCGGGAGGATGACCCTACATGGGCCCGGAGGTGGCCAGGTATGAAGTCGTCCAGGCTGAGCCCAGCGGGGAGGCTGCAGGGTGGGCCCTGCATGCTTGGGTCAAGGTCAGAGGACTCCGGATGAGCCAGCTGCTCCTCTGTGCGTCCTCTGTGGAAAAGGAGGAAGGAAGGGAAAGTCCTGCTGGGTCCGGCTGCCGGTGCCCTCTTGGCTCGACCCTGGGGTGGGGGAGGAGAGGACGGCTGTGGGAGGGGGTTAGGACCAGCTGGGTGGGAGCTCAAGGACCCAGGAAACAGGCCACTCCGGGCACCCGCCTGCAGGCTGCCCGTGCCGGCTCCCAGAGGCACAATGAGCTGCTTGTTAGGCCCAGGGCAGGAGCTCCGGGTGGGAGTGGGGGAGGGGGAGGCTTGGCGAGGAGGAGGGGAGGGGAGGCTGGCCAGGAGCCTGTGGGGCTCTCCCTGCACCGAGCAGCCTGCTCCCTGATCCCCCAGAGGGAAAGCACAGGGGAACTGGGGCAGCTGGTAGAGTGGGGCCTGGGCACGAAGGACTTTGTTTCAGTTCCCTCTGCCTCCCCCAGGCTCTGTGTGAGCATCTGCTGTCCTTGGGCATGAGGGATTTCTCAGGCTGGGGAGAGGCCCTGGCCAACAGCAAGGCCACCCGCCCACTGCCCATCGGGAAGCAGCAGGAGCACCCTGAGCCCAAGCAGGGCCAAGGAGAGTGTGGGGCATTTCCAGGCAGCAGAACCACTCCTTCGGAGCTCAGAGGGAGTATCAGCTCCCTTCTTTGGCCTCCTTCACAGACCAAAGACTTGGAGGACTCGGGGTGCCAGGAAGGGGTGGGTAGAGAGAGAAGCAGTAGGCAAGGCAGAGTTGGACCTGCTCCTGCTCATGGAGGGGTGGTGCTAGTGCCCTTGGGTTCTTCTTCATGTGGGCACTTGTGTGTGTGCTGTCTCCTTCGCTCTCTCTGTGTCTCCCTCTCTCTGTCTGTCTGTGTCTCTCTGTCTCTCTCTCCCTCCACACTTTCTCCTGCACCTCCAGGCTGTTTTCTGGAGGGAGGGTCTTCCTTGGCCTGCCAGGTTTTTCTGCCCAATGCAAGGTCAGAAAAAGGGATTGGAGCTTCAGGCACCCAGAAGCTGGAAAGGCAAAGGGAGCCCAGAGAGGTGGGTGCAAGATGACAACAGGTTCCCAGTTTGGGGTGTCCAATGGGGCTTTTCAACCCAGAGCACTGTGGTGTGAAGTCTGTCTCTCCTTGCCTTGGCTGTTGGGTTGGGTGGGGAGCTGAGTCGCTACTGCCACCTTCTGGGACTGTATCAATTCAGACTTGGATGTACCTGTGGGGTCCGTGGAGGGTCTCCAAGAGAGGGTAGAGAGAATGTGTGTGTGTGTGTGTGTGTGTGTGTGTGTGTATGTGTGTGTTGGAATCTGGACGCAGTGCTGTGAATATGACTTCTGGGGGGACCACCAGGGAAACCATGTGAGCTGCACAGGGGCTGTGGGTACAGAGGGGTGTCAGCTGAACAGTGGTGGGGGGGTGTGCAGTGGGCAGTCATATGAACAGCACAAGAGTTGTGGGGACCAGAGTGGATGAAGGTACAATAGGGGGCTGTGATTACTCCTGTCCACAGTTCCTCCTTGGCCTCGGGGCTGACAAGGGCACAGACAAGGCTGGGGCAGCTCCTTGTCTCCTGTCTGAGCTTGTGGGAGCTTTTTCTGACATTTGAGCAGCCTGCTGGGGACACAGCTTTTCTGTGCCTACCCCTGACTGTGGAGGGAGGGGAGGACCCAGACTGCAGGAGGGGCAGCTCACCAGCTGGATCAAATTAGGACTCCTACCAAAGCAAAACATGCAGACACACCCCAGTTCCCACTGTGCCCCCTCCCCTTGTGGGGGAAATTGAGGCAGGGCAGAGTGGAAGATCAGGAAGCCTGGGGCAGGCTGGTTCCTAGCAGCAACCCCTCCCTGCCCAGCTGACAGCTTGAGGACAAGTTGCTTGCTCAGCTGGGCAGTCCCGACCATCAGCTGACAGGGCCTTCCTTCCCCAGCCTCCCACCCCACCCCACCCTCGTGCTCAGTGAAAACTGCCCTCTTGTGGAATGAGTAGGGCAGGAGGTTCCCCCTCTACCCGTTTTCAGGAGCTGCTGACCCTGGATGCCCCAATCTGCCCCTCCCCAAGTCTGCTCCATGCGACTCACCGCCCAGGGAAGGGTGGTCCTAGGTGTTCTCTTGGCAGCTCTGCCAGGAGACCTAGGGAGCACAATTCTCACAGGGAAGATGGAGACATGCCGGGGAACTGGTCCCGGGATGCAGAGAACAGACGGTGTATGGACATCTCTGGGGTTCTCCCAGAATTCAGGCAGCCCCCTTCAGGCAGGCAGTCCGCTCCAAAGGGCAGCCAGGGAAGTGGCTCCGCGGTGGCGGGCAGCACCCCTCCCACCTCTGAACATGGCCCTGACCCACCCACGGGTCTTGGCCCTGCGCGCTTTCCCAGGTATTTTCCAGCAACAAGACCACGTGGACAAGGACAGTTTTTTTTTTCTTCCGATTTTCGCCTTTTCTGGACTGAGGGCGCGGGGACTTCTCACCGCGTCCCACTTCAATTTGGGGTGCGGACCCCAGGGGCGGGGCTTTGCTCCTTCCGCGGGGCTAGGGCGCGGGTCCCTCCCGCGGCGGCCTCGCCTACTTCCCCCG